CCATACAAGTTGTAACTGTCCTGATTCTTGTATGATGAATGATTTTTGTTTGTATCCTGGCTATTTTAGGTATTATATTCTAAGACTTGGGATTCTATTTTATCTTTCAGTAGGAAATTGCCCTTTTTGTTTTAGTGCACAAGTCTGTGTGGGGTTGGAAGTTCAACTCCCTGCTGGGCCCCACTGACACCATCTCAACAAAAGCAGTGGGTCAACTTGTACCAACACATTGGTGCCAGGTGGGGGTGGTAGTTCAGCTCCTTGCTAGGCTCTGCTGACACTGGTGTTGGGGCGGTGGGAGTGCAGCACTGACTAGCACTGCCTCATGGCACCTCATTACTGCCAGATAGGACTGCAATTCAGCTACCCCCTGGGTTTGCTGCCACCACCCTAGAAACAGTGGGGCACTGACTTGTGCCATCTCCTACTACCTCATTGCTGGTGGGTCAAGGTGAAAGTTCAGCTTCCTGCTCCACCCTTGCTGATATCATCTCAGTGGGGGAAGCAGGGAACCCCTGGAGGTTCTAATGCAGGAGACACAGGATAGGGTTGAAGCACATATATATGTTGAATAAGTTAACCATTGCTTCAGACTAAGGAGAGAAGCCATTACTCTCCTGCCTGTTGCTTGCTAGGGAAGGGAGTAAAAGATAAAATAGTAAAGAGCTGAAGTCAGCAGTCAGGTGGCCAGCCGACTTCACTGGCTCTGCTCCAGTGGGGCCTGAGAGTTAGGGAAGATACCTCCCCCTTGCGAAACTGGTGCCTATGTTATCTGTAAACCTTAAGAATGTAACAAAGAAATGTTCTTTCCTTCCATGGTTGCACAAAATCCTGCCTTTAGTCACGTACTCAATGCTTGTCCAATTCACCCCCCCCCACTTTAAGTTAATTCTATCACAGAATGATTAACTACCTTTGTTCAACTTCTCCAAGTTTGCTGTAACCCTTCCCCTTTCTTCCTTCCCACGTGCACCAAATATGAATTAGTGAATCAATGAAAGACAAGGACTGTGAGGTCAATGCCCAGCCAATGGGCTACAACACAGTTTCACCTGTGCTCTCCCTTTAGCGTTAGAAGCCCATACAAAGGGAAAGGAACTGCTCTTTGGGGAGCTCGGTTTTTGGGACCTAAATCTGCTGAGGCTCCACAGCTGAATAAAGTCACTTGTTTCCTTACTCCGGTGTCTGAGGGGTTTTGTCTGTGGCTCGTCCTGCAACGAGGCTAATAGATGTTCCCTAACATATTTTTTATGATTTTTCAGCTTTGTGATGATAAAAAGTATACACAGAAAATGTGCTCATAAAACCATTATGTTTTTCACTTTCATATTTAATAAATTAGATGATAGTCAATATTTTATTATAAAATAGGCTTTGTGTTAGATGATTTTTCCCAATTGTAGGCTAATATAAATGTTCTGAGTGCTTTTTTTTTTTTGGAGACAGGGTCTCATTCTGAAAACATTCCTTAGGTGGCTTCCTCACATCCCTCATTAAACATTCAACAACATTCCCTCTATGTGGATTTGAATGCTATTACTCATCTTTACTTTCTTTTTAATCAGTTATTTCTTGATACTCCCTGCATCAGGCTCCAATTCAGACATATTGAACTTCTCTCAATTCCTTAACATTCTAGGTTGTATTTTTGGTTTTGTTTTTTGACACAGGGTCTCCCTCGGTCACCCAGGCTGGAGTGCAGTGGCGTGACCACAGCTCACTGCAGCCTTGTCCTCCTGGGCTCAATCAATTCTTCTGTCTCAGCCTCCCAAGTAGCTGGGATTACAGGTGCGTGCCACCACGCCCAGCTAATTTCTGTGGGTTATTTTTAGTTTTTGTAGAGACAGGGGTTTAAGCCGTCTGCCTGCCTCGGCCTCCCAAAGTGCTGGGATTACAGGCATAAGCCGCCACTCCTGGCCTCTGAGCACATTTAAGGCAGATTATGCTATGCCATGGCGTTTAGCAGGTTTGGTGTTTTAAATACATTTTCAATGCTCAGTGGGTTTATTGGGACATAACCTCATTGTAAATAGAGGAGCATCTCTATCACCATCTTGTATTAGGCACTTATATGTCATATACTGTTTATAAATTCACCTGTATTTCATTTCTGTGCCAAGAACTCACCACCCTTAATATCATACCATGTCTCACTCATCTCTGCAGCCTAGGTACCCAGAACAGGACCTAAAACTCAATAAATAATTGTTGAGTGAATTACAGAAGCAGAAATCAGACTTTTTGATTAAATAATGATAATTGTATTAGAGTATGAGATGATCTAAACAAATCTAGATGGATTAGGCCAGTGCTACTCAAAATGTGGGCCTCTGGCTAGTGTATCTGTGAACTATTTGAAATGGTCTGTAACAATTTAAGTATAGTAATTGAGAATAAAAGTTTAGAAAGGTTTAGAATGGCAGAGTTTTGTTGAATCTAATGAAAAATTGAGGCTTTTTCTTAGTTAATTCTTTTCAAATTATTTTTGTTATTTATTTTGAGATGGAGTGTTGCTCTGTCACCCAGGCTGGAGTGCAGTGGCACGATCTCGGCTCACTGCAGCGTCTGCCTTCCAGGTTCCAGTGATTCTCCTGCCCCAGCCTCCCATGTAGGTGGGACTACAGGTGCCCGCCACCATGCCCAGCTAATTTTTGTATTTTCAGTAGAGACGGGATTTCACCATGTTGGCCAGGCTGGTCTCGAACTCCTGACCTCAGGTGTTCCACCCACCTTGGCCTCCCAAAGTGCTGGGATTACTGGCATGAGCTACTGCACCCAGCCTAGTTAATTCTTTATTTTTTTTATTTTTTTTTTATTTTTGTGGTAAAATACACATAATGTAAAAATTACCACCTTAACCATTTTTATGTATAAAATTCAATTCAGTGGCATTAATTACATTCCTATTGTTCTGTAACTGTCACCATCCTCTTATCTCCAGAACTCTTTTCATGTTGCAAAACTGAACTCTACACTCATTAAACGATAACTCCTTCCCTGTCCCCCTCACCCCTCAGCTCCTGGAAACTGTCATCAGGCTCTATTTGTATGTCTTTTTAAAATTTCATTTTTGTAGTAATTCATCTTTATTTTATGAATGTTTTAGTCTGCAATGAATTAGAAATTAATACAAACAAACAAACAAACAAACAAACTGATCCTTCCCCACAGACAACGTGAAAACGCAGTGTTAGACTATTCAAACTGAACTTACCAGTGGCCCGGTCTGGAGTGCGTAAGTGTTGCCTCGAATAACCCTTCTGTCATACATTATGTTTCCATAATGCATAGGTTCTTCATCTCTGTCAAACAGAAAGTTCTGTATAGCCACTTTTAACAGAGTATTGGTATCTATGAAGTAACTCATTTTCAACAGGATCTAAACTAAGATGAAAATACATGTACTTTATTTATTATTCACAATACGCTGCAAGTTGGGAATTATATTCTTTTTTCAGAAGGGGAGACAGACTCAGGAATCTGCCCAAGGTTACCTTGCTAGTAAGTGGCAGGGCCAGATATAGGTTGTAAATCTACATGACTTCAATAAATATGAAAATGGCCCATTTGAAAAGGGGCCTTCTTTAAAGGACTGAAAAAGCTTGTACAAAGACTGAAAAGTTACACTAATAAAAGAATCAGGCTTAAGAATTAAGTCAATTTTCTCATTGCTATTTAAACCCAAATATATTTTTAAAGTTACTGCTTAAAATGTTAATAAAAATTTCCAGCCTGGCCAAGATGATGAAACCCTACAAAATTAGCCGGGCCTAGTGATGCGCGCCTATAAGCCCCAGCTGCTCTGGATGCAAAGGTTGCTGCATCCACGGAGCTTGCATTCCTATAAAGTTCTGCCAAATTCAGCATTTGAGGCTTATGGAAAGAACTTTAGAGAACCATTTAACTTTAAGAGAACTTTAAGAGTTTATGGAGTTTTTTCCCCCCTAAAGATGTTTGAATATTTGCAACTATTCACCCACGTAAAAATACAATTTGTTGGCCGGGCGTGGTGGCTCACGCTTGTAATCCCAGCACTTTGGGAGGCCGAGGCGGGCGGATCACTTGAGGCTAGGAGTTTGAGACCAGCCTGGCCAACGTGGCGAAACCCCGTCTCTAATAAAAATACAAAAATTAGCAGGCGTGGTGGTATGTGCTTATAGTCCTGGCTACTCGGGAGGCTGAGGCAGAAGAATCGAGGCTGAGGCAGGAGAATCGTCTCAACCTGGGAGGCGGAGGTTGCAGTGAGTGGAGATCGCATCACTGCAGTCCAGCCTGGGCGAAAAGAGGGAAACTCCATCTTAAAACACCACCACCGCCGGGCGCGGTGGCTCAAGCCTGTAATCCCAGCACTTTGGGAGGCCGAGGCGGGTGGATCACGAGGTCAAGAGATCGAGACCATCCTGGTCAACATGGTGAAACCCCGTCTCTACTAAAAATACAAAAAATTAGCTGGGCATGGTGGTGCATGCCTGTAATCCCAGCTACTCAGGAGGCTGAGGCAGGAGAATAGCCTGAACCCGGGAGGCGGAGGTTGCGGTGAGCCGAGATCTCGCCATTGCACTCCAGCCTGGGCAACAAGAGTGAAACTCCGTCTCAAAAAAAAAAAAAAAAACACCGCCACCAAAACACACACATACACAAACAATCTGTGGTCCAGCATGGAAGAATAATCTCATTTCTGCTCAAAGCCTGTAGAAGAGATTTCCTCGGCTCGCATTTTGGATGTGCTATTGTTGGGTATTTTTGAACCGCAGTTTTGTCATCTGTATAACGGAGTTGTAAACCAACACAGCACTGTGGATTAAGTAAGAAAACGTATTTGAATGCCCCCAGCAAGGTGCCCAGCACATAGTTGGCCCTCAATACACACAATGCAAATTTTGTTAAAGGAGCCGATTCGTGTACATGTTAAGGACCATGGCAGCAACTCAGTAATCCTCAAAGTTAACTGATGCCCAACCCGTGCCCCTTGTTGCTTCACTCCTCCACACCACGGGAGATTCCTTAGGGCAGAACGTTTATTTCGACAGAGTGAGACCAAGGAAAGACAGCATGAGCAGCCTTTGCCAGGGCGAAGGGGCCAGACCCCAGCCGGGGGATGGGTGCAAGTAGGGATCACACAGGAGCCTTGGACACTCACGGCTGCGTCAGGCTGTCCCGGTAACGACGGCGCTGGCAGGGCAGTGCCCGAGGCCGGCTGGTGTAGGTGTAGGTGCTCGGGGCCCGAGAGGTGCTGTCAGTCAGCGCCGAGGCCATGTCCGGGGGCAGAACACCTCGCTTTCGGTGGAGCTTGGCTTTGAAGCAGGTGGGCGCTAAGGTATCGTGGGACCCGGAGAGATGCAAGTAGTGCCAAGGGCAAGGATTCCGCGGCGCGTGGAGAGGCGACAATAAGGGCGGTGGGCGGGACGGGAGTTTACCAGTGCAGGAGGTAGGAGCTGCACCGGGATCGTTCCCAGCTGCAGTGGCCACATCGGTTGCCCAGCAACGCGGGGCTCTGTCTGGGGGCGGGAACTCCGGGGAGTTCCGGTCCGCTGGTTTCCCGGGAAGGGTTGCGGTGCCAGGCACTTCCGGCTCTTGACTCCGCCCAGCTGTCCCTTCCCGGCAGGTGCGCCTGCGCGTTGGGAGCCCGCTGGCCAGGGAGGCGGCCTTGGCTGGCTTGACCGTCTTCTCTGAGGTCTGCGGGGCCACGGTGGCTGTCACCGGCCCCGCTTTGGGATGTGGCTTTGCAGGGCTGGTGTTGGCGCCATTCTCTCAGGCCCACGTGCTCCTGCTCTTCCAGGGCGTCCTCTGCTGTTTCTCCTGCCGCCGCGCCGCAGGGCTCCCAGGCTGGCCCCGCGATGGCACGCCCCTGGCAGCCGGGCTCCCAGCTCTGTTACGTGCCCGGGCGGGGAAGGGCTTCCGGGTGTCTTCCGGCACCTCCGCTCTTCCCGCCCCAGGGGCGGGCCGCCGCCGCCCGCCGCGGCCGAGTCTGTGCAGTTCCTCCCCTGCCTTCTCCGCTCGCCGCTGTGTGCTGGCAATCGGAGGACCCTTGACACACGGAGCGACAAGGGCCGCCCCCACAGACACCTCATTTTGGGAAAGAAGTGGGCAGTTTATTGACTTTTGAAAAAATATAAAGGCATCGTTCCCCCGTGCCTTAATCTATCAGGCCCCAGGCTCTGAAGAATAAATCTAGTATCGCGGGGCGGGGCTGCGCTTAAAAACGCAGACGCTTTGGCTTTCCTACCAGCAGTGTTAAAGATCTTGTATGAGTGAAGTGTGTGTATCCCTTGTGATGAGTTATTTGCATTTGCAGTTACACCTTCAATGTAGCTAATGACTGTCTTGATTTGAATCCAGGTCCCGTAATGTACTAGCTCTGTAACCTCAGGCAAGTTAAATGTTTCTGTGCTTCATTTTCCGAATCCACGTAGTGGAAATAGAAGAATTTTATCTCTTTAGGTTTTGTCTTGAGGGTTAAAACCGTTAATACTTAGAGCTGTGCCTCGTAAATGGTAAGCCTTTATATTAAGATCTGTATCTGTTCTCTGCTTTGAAGTGTCTGTCCTGAAGCAGATGTAGGCATTTGTAAGTAAAACTAACATAACGGTGTATGGCAAATTCTGGAGGTAAAAACACTGCCAAAAGATTTGAGGTCTGATCAGTTAATTTTGAGGTAATTTCTTTTTCTTTTTCCATTCCTTTCTCCTTCCTTCCTTCCTTCCTTCCCTCTCTCCCTCCCTCCCTTTCTCCTCCCTCCCTCCCTCCCTCCCTCCTTTCCTCCTTTTTTCCTTCCTTCCTTCCTTCCCTTTCTTATTTTTGTTCTGTCACCCAGGCTGGAGTGCAGTGGTGCGATCTCGGCTCACAGCAACCTCTGTCAAGCAATTCTCCTGCCTCAGCCTCCTGAGTAGCTGGGACTGCAGGCATGCACCACCATGCCCAGCTAATTTTTCTATTTTTACTAGAGACGGGGTTTCACCATGTGACTAGGATGGTCTCGATCTTTTGACCTCGCGATCCACCCACCTCGGCCTCCCAAAGTGCTGGGATTACAGGCGTGAGCACCCGGCCTTGAGGTAACTTCTGAAGGGGCTAGAGGAGCAAGTGACATTTAAATTGTGTTTGATGAATGATAGTGTTTTAACTGGCCAGCCTCTTGGGGGAAGTGCATTCGGAATGGCTTGATCAAGGGTTCAAAAAGCCCAAGGTGTATCTGGAGAACTAAGCAGGGTTTGTATAGATGAGCTGTAGAAATATCAACAGAAACAAAGGCTGGTGCCGCATCGTGGAAACACTAAACACTAACATATTAATTAGAATGTTTTTTCCCCTCAAGTAACAGAAAACCAATTCCAGGTGGCTAAAATAATAAGGAATTCATTATTTCACACTCCCAGGTTGGTTAACCTGGACGTTAACTTGGGGGGGCTCAGCACATTATCAACAGCACATTTTTTTCCCTCACCTTTCCACTCTGTCACCTGTGTTGTTGGCTTTGACAAGGTAGTAATAGAAGTATATTCTCTTTTATCTTTTTTGGAAGAGCAAAGCCCCCTTGTAAACTCCCAAGTGACCAGGCTTACATCATATCATTGATTTACGCTTAGGTGCTATATAAGATCACCATATTTGGATTAGACCAGGTAACCTGTCTTTATGGACCTCCAATAAACACTTGGCCAGGGAGGAGAAGAACAAATTCTGTTAGAAGGATGTTGGGGCAGAATAGAATGGTATTGAATGGGTAACCAATAGTGTCATACCAACCACAGTGAACTTTATAAAGAAGTTGATAGCCGCTATAGGTTCTTGTACAAGTTTTTGTCCACAGCCTGTTTCTCCTATTCTACTTTCTCCCAGGGCCGTCCCATTGCACAGCTGTGATTTCTAGTACCACTTATATACTCAGGACAGCAAAGTATGTATCTCTAACCTAGACTTCTCCCTCAGGTGACAGCCCTGGATATCTGACTGTTTTCTGGACAACTCTTGGATGATCAGAAACTGAATGATTCATTCAACGAATAGTTACGAGTATCTAGTATGTGCCAACCACTCTTCTTTTCTTGTTCCACTCCCCTGGTGTTAGTGAGGATACAGCAGTGAAAAACAAAACCAAACAACAGATTCAGACTCCTGCCTTCACAGAATCGACATGCTGGTGGAGGAGCCATACAAACAAGAGAAGTGAGTATATCACATATGTTAGATAATTATAATAGCTAAGGAGAAAAATAAAGCAGGAAAGAAGGCTAGGTGCTAGGGGCATAGGAGACCTAGCAATTTTATAGTGGTCAGAGGAGGCTTCATTGAGAAGGTGACATTTGAGGAAAGACATGAAGGAGGTAAAGAAATGAAACTTGAGACTAATTGGCATAGACGTCCAGGTCCAGGAAGCAGCCATTGCAGAGTTCTAAGGCAGGAAGACATATTGGGGATGGGAGTAAGAGTGAGTAGAGCAGAGTGAGTACAAGGAAGAGCATTGGAGGTGAAGCCAGAGGCTGGATTGTGTGTGTAGTAGGCCAGTGCAAGGACTTTAGGTTTTACTCTAGGGTTAAAAGGCCCTGAAGGGTTTTGAGTAGAAGCTTGACATAATTTGATTAAAAATTTTATTTTCTAGTTGCTTGGTTGGGAATAGACTGAAGCGGGGCAAAGGCAGAAGCAGAGAGACCAGATAGGAGGCTGCTCCCGGTAAGGCTGGTGACAGTGGCTTGGATCTGGGCTCAAAGTGGTGTGAAGCGATTAGATCCCAGTTCAGTTTTGAAGGTAGAACAGATTGGATGTGACATGGCGCACAAGAGAAAGAAAGGCATAAGAGATGATGCTCAGGTTTCTGATCAGAATCTACCTCATTGTTAGACTGGGATTGTTATAATAACTAAATGACAGTGTGTTGGACATTGTGCAGGCAAAACATCACAGAGTCTCGGGCAAAAAAACAAAACAAAAACAAACACACACAAACAAAAACTGCATAGAGACTGTGGCTGATGTTGTCTTTCTGCAGAAAGGATTTAATTTTATTCTGGCAAGCAATTAAGAGTAGCAACAGATGACCTTTAATCAGGGTTTCAGATTTTATGAGGGCTGATTATTTTCTGGTTTGGTCTCATCCCAGAGCAAGGCCTTTCTATTCTTTCTCAACATGAACATCTGGGGTATTTAATAGGTTTCCATCTTTGGGTGACCTTGAACTGCAATTTTTGTACTCCCAGCCCTGTGAGACTGCTGGAATATACACTTAGCATTTTAGCTATTTAGCAACTCTTTGGTTTCTTGATTTCCAGTGCCTTTACAGCTTAGAATTCAGCAAATACTTCAAGGAGAAAAACCGAGCAAAATGTCAGACTGGCTTTTCTATGATCCTCCTTTCTTTGGGATCTTGTCCCTTCTAGTCCTGTCAGCAGTTTTCAACTCCAATTATTTATCTCCCCATATCTGAAAGGTTCCTGATACCTCTAGGCCACTGCTTTCTGCTCGCCATAAATGCCCTACACAAAACTCAGCAAATGCCCCAATAAGAGAAAGCAATGGAGTTCTGTATCACTTTATGTATCTGTCTTCTCCCTGGGATCCCAGTCTCTCATGTCCTGACCATCTTGGTTGCTCTCCAGTGTCTTCAGATGGCCTGTGTAGTTTTTGTTATGTGTGCTTTTTTAAAAAATGTTCAGCTATTATGCTTATTCCCATGAGAGGACTGGTTTAATTTAAACTATTCAGTTATAGCTAGAGGGTCACGATAGGTTGTTGACTAGAGTACTTAGAAGAATGGAGTTGCCATTTAGTGATATAGGGAATGCTGGGGAAGAGCCATTATTGGGGTGAGCATTAGCAGTTTGGTCTGGGGCACATTAAACTTAGAAGGCATGTTAGTCATCCAAGTGGAGATGTTGAATAGACAACGGGACACAGAGTCTAGAGTTTAAGGAGACTGGTCTGGTTTAGAGAAGTGGATTTTTGAGTCAACAGCCATGATACTTGATAAGATTACAGAGGGAGTGTTGAGAGATAAGGTGTGGAGCATTCTAATATTTTAGAGTTTTAAAAGATGAGGAAAAATCATCAAAGGAGACTGCAAAAGAGGCCAAAGAAATGGTAGAAAATGCAGAAAGTTTGGTCACCTGGGAGATAAGTTATCAAAGTGTTTCAAGGAGAAAGGAGTAGTCAGCTATATCTAATGCTATACATGTACCAAGCAAGATGGGGGTCTAGCAGTACAGAAGTCATTGGCAATCTGAAAAAAGGCAACTTTTATGAAGTTATAGAAGAAAAAGTTCAGTTACAATGGATCCCAAAAAGAGTGGGAGAAGAGCGATTTATGACTCAAGGAAAGAAAAAAGAAATGGGTTGGTAGTTAAAGGGAAACTGAGTCAAGAAAAGGTTTAATATATGTTAATGGGAAAATTGACTGTATGTGTATATGTTTATAGAAGTGATTCAGGAGAGAAGACGGAATGGATGGCGTGGGAGGGAGGGAAGAATTGGTGGAATGATGTTGGCAAAAAGGGACAGCCTCTTGTGTACAAGTAGAGGGACTGGGCTTGCCTAGAAACATGGACAGTTCATCCATAGCAAGAATAGAAAAGGTAGATATATGGCCACAGATGTAGTCAGATAATCATTTTAAAATTCTTTTTTTTTTGAGACAGGGTTTCACCATGTTGGCCAGGATGGTCTCGATCTGTTGACCTTGTGATCCGCCCGCCTTGGCCTCCCAAAGTGCTGGGATCATAGGTGTGAGCCACCTTGCCTGGCCATTTTAAAATTCTTTAATCAATAGGTGTTTCTGATGTGTAGCAGGCACTTTGCTAAGCACTTCACATACATGATTTCATTTAGTTATTGTAACAGTCTCAGTCTAACAATGAGGTAGGTTCTGATCGTATTCCCATTTAATCTACAAGGAACCGAAATTTAGAGAAGTTAAAGTAACTTACCAAAGTCATAGAGCAAGCAAGTGACAGGACCACGACTTAAGCCCTTGACTGCCGGACTCTAGAACTTCGCTTCAGCTTATGATGCTCATCTTCCCACTCCCAGATGCCTCATTTCTTGCCCCCTTTGCTTGTTCCACCTCCCCTCATTCTCCCCATCCTAAATCACCAAATCCTGTCCATTTTACTTCCTCAGTGTTTCTTGATTCTGGATCCTCTTGTTTGTATCCTTCCTAGTGCTACTGGCCTTTGACCTCGGCATTCCAACCCCATAATCTAAATTGGATCATCTCTGAAACCATAAACCAATCTAACAGAAATGCAGCTTTGACCATGCTTGCTCCACAACCCACTGCCTAATGAGTTCAAGTTTCTTAAACTATGCTATAAGGCCACCACTACCTGGCATCTCACTAATTTCTGCCTGGTACTTTTTTCTCAGCAGAGCTGAGTGCTTGCAGTCCCACCGCACAAGCTATCATGTTCCCACAATGTGTTTGTGCTTTATGCTTTTTCCTTGTCTCT